CTTTATTTTAGAAAAAATTCCACTTACCGCATTCCTATCAACATTCTAAACACGCGAATGAGATTTCAATAGATGAAGCGATTAGGTGAAAGTAAATGTAGATTATCTTCTTATTAATCTTATAATTAGGATTTGGAGAAAACATAAAAAATGATCTATGGTCTGTACTGATCGAAAGATTCAAATTAAGGTCAATTGTATCTCCTCATATTCAATGTAATTGTATCTATCCCTTTCGATTGTACCTACACGTTACAAATTTAATGCGCACTAATGGCATATTAATGTCCAATCAATGACAACTTTCTTTGGTTTGATACATTTTTAATAAAAAAGTTTCGTAGGTAATAGAAAATTCTAAACTGATCATAAACTTATTATAAAATCCATATTCCCAACTAGATGTCTCTTAAAATCGCAATTCTTGAATTCTGGACTACGAATTCTTAACTCTGAACTCTGAACTCCAAACTCTCAATTCTGAATATCCAACTTTAAACTGTAAACTCTGCATTCGAAACTTTGAAATCTGAATTCTGAATTTTAAACTGTAAACTGTAAACCCAGAACCCTGAACCCTGAACCCTAAATCCTAAATTGCAAGTTTCAAATTTGTTTAATGGAAAGTAATTACCAGAGCGCCAAACTTTCAAGCAATATTAAGCACGAAGAAAGTGAAAAGAAAATCGATGGAAAAGAAGAAGACGGAAAGAAGAACTTACAACATAGATACACGAGTTGCCTTTTCTCTACGTTGCGCTTCCGATTTAATTTTAGCCCATGCGACTGCTATAATAAACGCTCTATCCACCGCCTCTAAATATATCGTTGGTGTTTTCGTTTCGCGGCCACCTTGCCCTGTAATCGTAACAAAACAACCGAGTAATGCATGCATTAATTATTCACTGGTCAATCGAGCTCGTGTATATGCGCCAGTTTCTCGGTTTAGTCGACTAGAGCAAAGTTGTTCAGGTAGCCGTGGAAAGTTTCGCCGAGTTTCCAGACCAGTCGATTAAACTGTGTCAATAAATTGTCACATGCGACCTGAAACGGCGATACTTAATGTTCGGAAAACACGCGAGCAACGGCGACATACTTTTCAAGATACTAACACAGCAAAATGGACCAAGTTTCTAAAAACATGGTATATCGGGCAAGCTACTTGTCCTCAAGTCGTTTCAGATCGACAAAGTTGATCATAAGTGGATATGTAATGAAAAATTGACGAAAGAAAAAGCTTCGCGTGTTCGTCGTTGATTAAAATTTCGAATAGCTTTTTAGTTATATCCAAATAAAATCTGTTCTTAATTACGTCGATAATTCGAAGTCGATGTCACGGGTATTATAATACAATTTATCTAGTTTGATTTTAAAGAACACGGAATATTAAGTGAAATTCCTTGGAAATTCTCGAATTTTAAAAATTCTAAATTTTTGCTCGATAAAATATGCTTATCGATAAATTCACAAATTACGATTGAATCGAAATCGAAACTTTGAGAAAGAGGAACTTGTATATCCGCGTTGTAAGATTCTTTCGTTCTCCGTTTCCTAGATTGATTCTAATAATGTAAAATTTAGAATTAACAGATAATAAAAGAATAACTCTACATGTACCTAAATATTGCAAGATAAAACATCAGTCGAATTCACGTAACTCGATTGATCCGAAGATCGCGTTCAACTGTTAGTCGATGACTACGTACAACGGTCGATTTTCTCGAGAATTTTCAAGATTAAATTTGCAGATTGAAGAGTAAATTTTACAGAAGAGGATTCCAAGAGATAACGAGAATTTCGGGTATCAATTAATGTAGAGCTCGAACCTTTTCCACAGGGGAAATATTCTTCAAGGGAATAACGTATTTAAACAGTTGTCAGGACGTTCCCTGTGATTTTCCTCGTGTTCGATTCTTCTTTTTCTTCTTTTTCCTCGAACTCCCAAAATAAAAGGGAAAAGTTTAGCAAGAAATCGTGGACAACGGCGCGAATCGCGCACTGACGTCAACCACGTTTCGCGGTCACTTGCATCTTAAACCGAGTGAATTTCACTGTCTAAAATTGTTCCATGCCCTCGTGTATGATCGTTCTGACGCAAGTGACACAAGCAAGTGCCAAATCGCGTTCAAATGCCACGCGTGACCATTTTACCACTTCGAACGAACCCGCCAAATTTTCGATTCGTTACGAACGAAACATCGCTACAAATTATGAAAGAAAGCTTTTCAAAATTTTCAGAAGCGAAATTTCTCTTTGGTAGGTGGTTCGTGTTACGTTTACACGATGCTTCCTTTGCCGCTCTTATCCTTTCTTCCAATGCGTCACATTTAACACTAAGCTTACCAGTAGCAAAATTTATTTTAAAACAGTACATTCACTGTTATTTCTTTCGTTCGTCCAACTTCATGTAAATTCTTAGACGAAGAAAAATGTGAGAAATTGATGTATCAAATGATATAAGAATTTGCACAAAGTTATACGGGCAAAAGAAATAACAACGAATGCACAATTTTAAATTAAATTTTGCAAGCGATCGCTTAACCGGCTGTGATAAAACGATTAGTGTTAAAACGTTCTTCTTTATTCACCACTGTACATAATTTACGAAGCTCTTGTTTCCGATATTTATTAACAAAAACCTATTAAAATTTTCGTTCGATAGACGTTGCAAAACTTTCGCTCAACCGTATATTTGTTCAGTGATTTTATGGAACATAATTTCATTTCACAAAATTACGATACGTTCCCCTTCGTGCTCGTTTCTTTTTCAACTTTCTTTTACCGTCCGCCATATATCAAACATAATTTACGAGCCTTTTATGGCTAACATTTATTAACAAAGGTCTGGTAAAATTTCCTCTTAATACATGTGTTGTAAGATTACTCTATATTCTACATCTGTTTTATACATCATATATCCATTGCTTCGATCAAACGTAATTCCGTTTCACCGAACTACAATGTCTTTTTATACTCCTTACCCTTCAAACTTTCTTTTATTTCCCACCGTGTATTAAACGTAATTTACGAGCCATTCGTTCTTGGCATTTATTACCAAAAATCTGTTGAAACTCAACAGAAACACGTCGTAAATGAAAAAGCTGTACATCACAAAGAGAAGCGTTTCTAGAGTCACGTGGGAAGTTCGATGCGCAGAGAAAGAGAGAGAGAGAGAGAGAGAGAGAGAGAGAGAGAGAGAGAGAGAGAGAGAGAGAGAGAGAGAGAGAGAGAGAGAGAGAGAGAGAGAGAGAGAGAGAGAGAGAGAGAGAGAGAGAGAGAGAGAGAGAGAGAGAGAGAGAGAGAGAGAGAGAGAGAGAGAGAGAGAGAGAGAGAGAGAGAGAGAGAGAGAGAGAGAGAGAGAGAGAGAGAGAGAGAGAGAGAGAGAGAGAGAGAGAGAGAGAGAGAGAGAGAGAGAGAGAGAGAGAGAGAGAGAGAGAGAGAGAGAGAGAGAGAGAGAGAGAGAGAGAGAGAGAGAGAGAGAGAGAGAGAGAGAGAGAGAGAGAGAGAGAGAGAGAGAGAGAGAGAGAGAGAGAGAGAGAGAGAGAGAGAGAGAGAGAGAGAGAGAGAGAGAGAGAGAGAGAGAGAGAGAGAGAGAGAGAGAGAGAGAGAGAGAGAGAGAGAGAGAGAGAGAGAGAGAGAGAGAGAGAGAGAGAGAGAGAGAGAAAGAGAGTAATTAAACGGGGCATCAACTGTTGCTTCGCTTTTCAGCCAACTTTTCATCGCATCGGTTCAAAGTGCATCCCGACGAACCAGAGCATTTACCTTCTCTCTCTCTCTCTCTCTCTCATGTTTCTCTTGATAGTTTCATACGTGTGAGCGTATACACGTAATCGAGTATTGCTGGTGGAATCACGATGATGTGGACGTCGTTTGTAAAGTGCACCTACAGTGGTGCTTCCTACAGATAATTGACGATAACGCAGATACATCGTTATTTTTAGAACAGGAGCGATTACAACAGTTCGTCCTTCACGACCTAACCCAAAGTTCTCCATTAGACGATATTGCTTTTTAACCGTATCGATTTGGCATAATTCAAGGCCGACCTACCGGGGGACTACGCCTTCCGCTCGATAATAACGATTTTTCTAGAGTTTCGAAGGAGTTGTGGCGTGGCATAGTTGCAACGAAATTTCGAACCCTCGCCGCGTCAACCTGTTTCTTTCGCGTTCGAAAATAACGCTGCGCTTTGTACCGCTTCGTAACAGGGGACGCGTGTATTCGCGTATGTAACGCAACCTAGTCGAATTACTTGGCAGAAATTTCATAACGATCCTAATTTAGGATGTTCGACGACGTTGTAGGGCTTTTTCTGGATTTTCTTGCAAATTTTATAATACAGTTTTAATCGAGAACGTTCGAACGCGTTACACGAATGTTTGAAACATTTTTACGTAAAGAATTTCAACAGAATTTTATCGCGATTGAAACACAGAATTTTATTACAATCTGAATGTAGAATGTCTGACAACGTTACACGAATTTCTTCAGATTTTTCTGCGAAAGCTGTTGTTCGCTAAAAAATACGTGGAACGCGAAAGATTCGCAGGCTCGCTTTAAGGCTGCCATAAATACGTTTTACGCAGTGACGTTCAACTTTGCTCGCTAGTTCAGTCACTTGCTACATTTTTCCATCTGCTCGATATTTCGTTTACACTAGGTTTCCTTTCTTTTTGATAAATCATGCTGTTTCCATGACGGTGTACGCTATGGCAATGCATCGGAGACCTTTCGCCAAACAGCTGACGTAGCATTAATTCAGTAAGTCGCGAATGCAAATCAACCTTTCCCATGAATTATAAAACATAATCGATAATTTCAACCGACGATAAATGGTCCCACTGATACATTATACAGGTTGACGCGATTATAAATAATCAGTTAAAAAAAATATATATATAACACGTATTGATGAAAGCGATACGATACGCGACAGAAACATTTGGATATTTTGATTCGCAGAAATTTCGCGAGAACACGATGCGTCGGTGGGTAAATTTCGTGATAAAGAGCGCGCTGTATGCAAAAGATAGTGGCACAAGCTACACTTGATTCGAGCTCGGCGGAAACTCACTGCGAAGCATGCCCTTGCACAATCGAATTAATGACAGGAAGCAATGATACAATTACTCTGCAGCCACTTATTAAACAGAGGCTTGGCTGCGTTCAGCTGTGATTGCCCGAGAACCAAGAGAATCCAGTGAAATCTCGCCGTCTCGTGTCGCCGTGAATTAGTTTAGCAAGATCAGCGTGCTCTGATTCCAGCAACTTTTTCTGCTGAATCTCGTTACGCGTAACTAACGGAGGATTAAAACGGTTGGCTTGTGAAAAACTAAGCAAATAAATAATTAAATATATAAATAAATAGGTAGATACCTGGTTGGAAGGAAAAGGAAAAGCGCAAGACTAATGAGAAAAACTCGACGAAATTTTACGTGAAACGAGAATATCGTAAGAAACTCTCAAGAATTATGCAAGGAATTTTTATTTCGTGTAGAAAGAAAACATTTAAGTGGTAATTACTGACAATTGCAGTGGAATCAGTCGTAATTGCGCCAGACAAGGTACAAGAGACTGTTATACAATAAATTTCTTCACGGAATGCAGTTAAAAACGTTGATAAATTATCGTTGGATATAGAAAATGGATAAAAGGAATTGGAAACTCGCGTATAACGATGTTTGGCTTCATATGTGAAATGTGTACATTACAATCATAATATGAAAGACAAAGTAGGATAAAGCGATAGGTCCATGTCTATGCCATTCATACTACTAGACAATTAAACAAAAATATCTAATCTGTTGGAGATTGAAAGACAAGTTATGCTAGCAGTAGATTAAGGAATGACTACAAATGACTGTATTTCCGTCGCATCAACTGTTTTCAAGGATAGCAGATTCAGCTATCTCCGTCCCCGAATACAAGATTCGACAACACACTGTCCCAAGAGAAACGTATACCAATATTTAACCATATCCAGTCTGCGGCTATTTCTGTAGAATACCAAAAGATATGGTTTCGTAGAATAAAATTCTCCGATAATTTGAAATCCATGTAAAATCGAAGTTGCCATCGAAGCGTGCAATATTTTATAATTGACATAGCGAAATAGCGTAACAAGGCCGCGTATTGTATCCAAGTTTTTCCTCAAGATATTAACAAACCTTTTGCTCGCCGAAACAGAAAGCAGCGAGATTCAGCCATGAAAACTGATGCATCGCAGCACAGAATTAAATCCATCGAAGTTCAAAGTCGCCAACGAAGCGTGCGATATTTTACAACTAACATAGCGAAATAGCGTAACAATACGACCAATTGTGTTAAGAGCTTTTCCTCCAGATACTAAGATACTTTTTCTTTTTGTTTGTCGAAACAAGAGCGAGATACAGCCATGAAGAATCGCGGCAGAATTAAATCTCATCGAAGTTCAAAGTCGCCATCGAAGCGTGCGATATTCTACGTTAACACAGCCAGACAGCAAGTAACGATGCCGCGTATTAAAGTCTTCTCCTAAGATATTAAAACGCTCCTTTCATAGTGCCGAGGCGAGAGTGAAATTCGTCCGTGGAAATTGGAGGATCGCGATGGAACCGAGTCCAATCGAATGAAAATTCAGAGTCGCGATCGAAGCGTGCAACGTTTCGAAAATTCTCCGGGATATTGAGAGAGACACGGCGAGATAGTGTCGCGATACAGCGTTACCACTGTCACCGGAAGAGGGAAACGAGGGAAACGAGGGAAACCTGGAGCAATCGAGGGGTGGTCCGAGTGACATTAAAGGGTGTCGCGAGTCCTAAATTGCAGGCCGGCTGGCTATGTTCGCCCTGTTCCAGCAAGATAGGGACTCGTTTTGCGTTCGCCGGCAACAGATACAAATTTTCTCCACTTAATTCCATCGGCCGTAGAAGTCTAATTGCGCGGGCGACAAGCTGGAAAAGAGTGTCGTTTAAACGTGGGCCCCCGTGGAAAAACCGACGCCCTCTGTAACTGCATTCGCCGTAAAATTCCCGTGAATCTTCGTTCTGCAACCGGAAAAACGCCGGAAGACGTCGTTGCCCGAAGATGAATCTACCGTCGAATAAATCTCGTCGTGCGAGTTATACGAAGAGGACGAGGATCGATGCTGCCTGGTGACAATTAATCCATTAAATCCGAGGATTATCGAACTGCTACGAGAAAGAAGTAATTAACGCTGCAGATAATCGAGGAGAGCGTTTTTGGATCTTTCGATTCGTTCGTACACATTTGTTCGATATGTTGGACGCGACGTTGAATATGCAGTTTTACGCTCGCTTCGATTATTTTAGCTTTTGCCGGTATTTACGCGGGCAGGTTGGTGAAACAGGCGGAGATATTTTTAGTTAATATCTGCAGTAACAGTTAGAACGTTTTAACAGCTAGAAATTTGCTAAAAGGCAAGACGAAGGTACGGCGGTTGTTTAAATCATTCCCACTTTTAGTCCTGAAATACTGAAATCTGTAACAGCAAAAGTAGGTACTAATGCCTTTCCTTACTTGACTTTAACTTTTCTCGTTCCTTTCTACCTTCTTTTTTCCCTCTTCTCCGTGGTCTTTTCCTTTTTATTCTTCCCCTCTTATTTTTCCCCTCTTCCTCTTTCTCTTTCTTTCTTTCATTCGTTCTTTTCCCCTCCCAACTTTCCCATTTCTTTCTTCCGTTGTACCATTCCTCCTCGATTCCCTTACTATCCCCTCTGTTCCTTTCTATTTCTTTCTATTTCATTCCAATTCGTTCCTTGCATCGTGGTAAATTTTCCATAAACTTTGTATGCCCTGTATCGCACACCGATACAGCTTTTGTTCCACAAGGTTCATAATTGGTCGGAGCATTAGACGAATAATGAAAATTTACTTGTCGAGGTTTTCACGAGGTTTTTCGAGAGCAGCGTTCGTGTTTACGGGTTTCTTGTAGATCTACGATAACTTGATAACGATGTGCTTGCGTCGTCGACGAGAAGATAAAACTCATGCAAATTGCCTAACGCGCCGACGAAATTCGCTCGTGTAACGCGAATTTTACAGCCGCGTTCCGCAGCGTTCACGCTGAAATTCCGAGAAAAATGCACTACAATTCCCCGAACACGGATTTTCCAAGAATTCATTCAGCCAGACATTAAACATGCATCATGCAAATGCAATCCTCGCTCTTCGTATTTCCATCTTTATTTTCGTTTTATTTTTTCCTCTTTTTCTTTTTTATCAATTGCATCGCGATTAGATTCGTTTCCCTTCATTTTCGCGCGAATTATTTGCGAAATATCATTCGTACGAATAATCGCCCTGTTGTTTTGGCAAAATAATTCTCCACTGTCTACGCGTGGCAGAATGATACCATCTATTGATTATATCGTCTTCTGGAAAAATGGAAGGGGCGTTTTCAAAGTACTACATCACGAAATTAAAATTAACATCTACTAATATATTGAAACATTTCAAGGTCTCCGTATCTTTCATCCTTTCAGCGAAATTATGCTATACAGACTGTTACGAAATAACGACTAACGATAGCATACTAATAATAAGAGCATGCCGATCCTAAGAATTCGGACAATTTGCCGCGTTCCCTTCGAATTATCTCGTTATAAATCTCATAATTCGTTGGTATCGTAACAAGGCAGATTGCTAAGTGAAAGAAAAATTCCTAAAATTTGTTACAGCTTTGCGATAATCGTAACGAGTTGGCTCGCAGTAATTGCAACGAGTTGGCGTCGCTGATGCTATACCGGTGGTCGGCGATGTACAAACTGTAATACTATGAATCTTAGTGCCTCGAAGCGTAATGCCATGGAGCATCGTACAACGGGACAGAGCACAGAACTGCGAAGCACAGTGCCATAAACCATAAAACGCAGAGAGCATTATGAATCACGAAGCCACAGTAAATATCGGAATTCGCAATTCCTATATCCACCGAATCAACGCTCGGCCATTCTAAATATCACCAGACGTAAATTACGAACACAGTGAAATAAATCAGCTTCTATTCGTTGGTGCAACGAGATTACCACTTTCTCAACCGCCCACGCCACCAAACGTAATCGCCCGGTAAGCCTGTGCCAAGCAACTGCACAGGTAGACGAGGTACGCTTTACGTAAGACGTTAATTACACCGCCTTCTAACTTCGCCCTTTAATTAAAACGCGTAACACAACCAGCAGAACTGGTCTTCGATTTTTCGAGCAACCGAACCTTTTCACTTCCTCCCCGGTTCTAGTTGGAGAAAGACGAAGAACCAGCTTTCGGATCGCTACAGGCTACGACGGTGTGTTCTGTCTCGTTTCCCTTCTGGAACAACCTGTCGGCGTGCGTGCCGCGCGATCTTTTAAAACCAACGTCCACGGGACGCGAGTATCGGTGAAGGTGCACGCGCGCGTGTATAACTCGGTTTTCCTTAATAAACCGCAGCGACGCGACGCCGCGCCGCGAGAAACGTGAGAACGTCGAGGGCGACGATTCAAGGAGAGAATTTATTATTCGACGCGTTGCATACTGCACCGGCGGTGAATTCTCCGGTGACTACAAGAAATTTACAAACGAAGCTTCAGCCAACCGCGTCTCGATGCAATGGAAAACCTGACTACGCCTCGGTTATCGTATTTTCCTTTCCGACTGTGTATGTATTATATATGGCAGAGATCAAGTTATTATTTTGCTTTTTCTTCTCCTTTCGGTAACCATTAAAGGAGGATTGAAAAGAGCCTCTGCTGTTCTTGTTTCTGGTGACTTTCCGCGATCGAGCGTAGCTCGTTCTTCATGGTCCTTTGGCCAAGCTTCATAATAGCAAAGTGTTTATTCCTCTATAGATATTTCTACGCAAGAAAGATTTAGCGCTACCGCAATGCGTACAGGCGATCTTTACGCTCCAAGCTCACGCACATTCATTGTAAATATATCTACGACCAAACGACTAACCAGGATTGCTTTCCCACGCGTTTCGATTTTGTCGCAAACTTCCTATCGCTCCAACGAAACTACCGGTCGTCAAGATGTTAATACAAGGGTCTGTCAAAGTGTCATTTTTCCATCTAGAATCTCGCCAATTCTGCGAGAGATTCTCGGAAAAACGCCCATCGGGGCCAAAGTATTCATCTTCGACGTATCAAAGTCGACTGCACACCTGGCGATAGCAAAGAACGAACGATAGAAGAAGGAATGATGGAAGAGCGACATTTTTCACGGGCGAAACAAGGGGCAGAGTACGGAGATGATTTTCATTTATCCTTGATTCTCTGGACGGGGAGCGGGAAAAAAGCGTGCGAAGAGGATGAAGAAACAGGCACGAGCTGCTCGCTAATCCCTTAAGAGCGTAGCGAACGAAGGGCCGAAGAGCCCGGAGGTAGCGGAAAAAAGGCGCGATACAATCCCATCGGGAGCGGGTTTCATTGAAATGCCGAGGAGTTTGCAAGAAAAACAGCATCTGGGTTAAATTCCCGAGGATCTTTCGGCTCCAGTCAGCTTTTCCGGCACGGCTGATAGAATTCCCCTTGCGAGCCCGTGAAACAACAGAAGCGGAAGGCTGTGAGGAGCCGAGAGAGCCAACGACGTCGACGAGTTTCTTCTAGCTGTCGGCGATGTCGCAACGACGAACCAGCCTGACTTTCGGCGCCCGCGGGAAATAACGCCGTGGACCGAGCTGCAAATATGCGCATCACAGCCGTGAGATTCCCGAAAGAAGAATTGGACGACTGCTGTTAGACCAGCGATAGGAATTTTTAGGGAAAGACGAGAAGGCAAGAATCACGAAGAAGTTTGATTCTTTTAGTTGATTCTTTAAATACTACAGTCGGTCGCAAAGATATTCGTACACGGAATAACATTTTAAGAATTGGACTTGTGCTACTTTTGGAGCAAACTGGAGGGATCAGTTGGCGAAAATGACGTGTGATGGAAATTTGTTGAAAATTGGAATTGGTAGAAACGACGATGGAAGTCGTAGAAAGATACAACCTTCTTATCTGGGTTTCTAATGAAAATTTTGACAACACATTTTATATAATGTGTATAATATATTATACACTACAGAAATATAGCCAAAGAAAAATTACCAAAGTAAAAGGACAATACTGGCCAAAAGAAGAATACTGGCAAGATTCAGATGTGGAAACGAGACCAAAGCAAGGGAATACTGGAAAGAAGATGGAGAAAAAAGATGCGAACTATGTAGAAGGAAAGAAGAAGAACTGAAATGTCATAGAAATGTAATAGAAGAATGTGAAATAACGGGAGGACCAAAGGACATAGGAGAAACGCTAAATGAGACTGGAGAAGGTTTAACAGAACTGGAAGCAGTAATAGAGAAGAGAAAGGCAAACGACAGGAAGGATGCACAGCAAGGAGGCTAAAGACCAAAGTTACAATAGGTTTTAGTCATTAGTTAGACTATTAGTTAGACTATTAGTGAGTCATTATTAGTTAGTCATAGAGTGGAAAAGAGATAGACATATAAGAAGAGAAATAGACATAAGAGATGTAAGCCGACAGGCACGGATTAAGCAATAATAAATGAATAATATAATATATCAATACGATGTAATTAATTTATTAATTATATATCATATATATAAAATTCTCAAATTTTACAACTTTTTCGAAAAATAACGAAGACAACTCCTAGACGAACAAGGAAGGTCAAGCTGCTGGAACTTTGATTCTTTGCTAGAGCTGAAACGTAACGGAAAAGCGTGTTTAAATGCCGGACAGGTTCATTCATTTTCCCGTAAAGGAAGACAAAGCGACGACGAATGACGTTACGAATTAATCGTAACGCCATTTGACGCGGCCAAAAGAAACATGACAGTTACAGTGTAGTTAATCGAATAAAAAGTTGCCCCTGTTCACGATCCAGTACCAATGGGAAAAAATTTCACGGGACGTCTCTCGTAACGGGCAGATACTGTCGAAGGAGAAGTCATTACACGGTACGTGACTGCGTAACAAATAGACCGAGGATACGCAAATCTCTCGGATCTGCATCCTTGAATTCTGAGAAAAGTCGAACTCTACGGATAGCTGACGGTCATAAAGCGTGACTCGATCAAAGACGAGACGGGAAAACGTAATGTCGAAGAGGCACGGAAGTCCGCTGCTAAATACCGGCAATGACTAATTAACCAGCTCGAAAGCCGTGACGCGCGTTCGCTTGACGCGCGAAAAATGAAATTTTCAGCGCTTCGAGCTTCCACGCCAACTATACTTTCACAGATTTCTATAGAAATATTGAGAAGAGGCTAAATGAAAAATGTTACAAAGGATATACGTTTGAATCGTCGTAGCCTGCACTGTGACGCAAGCCGAGAAATTTTATTAATTTCTGTGTCTACTCCCAGCGAATAACATTCTTATTATAAATAGCCTTTCAATTTCTTTATCGTTCCATTTTTATTCATTTCTATCTTCGCTGATTCGCAACGGCGTATCGAATATTCGTTATAGCTTCGTTATAAATACAACGCCTTCACTGTTTCTCACAGTTAAGATTATCATGGCGCAACCTGGGAAATTTGAATAATTTCTATCACCACTGATAAGAAACGATACAAGTTTCGAGAGTTTCCTTCCTGCTGTATATAGAATATTCCACGTAGTTTCTTATTTCTCTTACAAATTACAATTTTTTTAGCGTATTTAATTACCTTACGGCAATAATCTATGATTCTTTGATATAAAATCGAACGCACATAGTATGCTATGATAGAATCAATATGCGATGTGTTCACGTCATGTCTGAAGGTTCGAGTATGTTTAGAAATTCAACTATGAGAAAAATACCATTAAATGTTGAAGTTATATGAAATAGAATATAACATAATTATCTTTTTTTTTTGACATTGCAATATTATGAATTGACATATTGAAGTTCATATGAAACTCATATGGAATGTATCAGATGTTATGAACTACTTATTATCAATTCGATTATACCATAGAATAAACAAAATACCTGTCTCCTTTCATGCGTGACTTTTAAATAGTTCGTGTCGATCTGTATTCACAATCTCGAAACCTTGTAACATAATTTATGTAAAATACCGAAGTATAACATTCCATAAAATGAACTCTAACCAAGAATTTATGCTATGCCGATCGAACAACTTTTCATCTTGAAATAGCGAGATGTAAATTATATTTTTGATAATTATATTCTTGATTTGCAGATCAAGATTACGAAGAAAAGCACTTATATCCTGCATTAGTAAAGCAATTTTAAAATTCAATGTCTCTTCAATCGATCATTTAATAACGAGAATCTGCTTTTAGGATCTGTTTTGGTTTGCAAATGATATATTTTTACCACAAGCTTTTTAAATATTTAACAAACATCGATCAATCGTCAGTTCTATTGTTCCGTTGAATTTTGAAAAAGTAGACACGAGAAAAGAGGATAATACGAGATGTGAGTTGGAGAAAATTGAGTCTTACTGGATGGAAGTCAGAGTTACGGATATATAATTAATTCTGTTACTCCCATAAAAACCTGTAATTCAACATTCCTACACATTTTTCACCATTTGCATATGCCATTAAAAAATTACACAACGATGAAAAGAAAAAGGGGGAAGAAGGAAAGGAAATACGAGTTTGATAAAATTCAGTTTCAATGGAAGAAGTCAGAGTTATTTCCACGTATTATTTCTTCCTATCATTTTCGCATAAACCTGTTTGTAACTCAACGTTCCAACGCAACGAATCGTCTTCCATCGTTTGTATGTCCTGTTAAAAAATTAGTACAACGATAAAAGAAAGGAAGAAACAAAATATCGGTTTAATAAACTCAACTAAACAGTTTGTAACTCAACGATCCTACGGAATGAATCATTTCTCACCATTTTCGTCTTATTGCCAAACGATATAGAACAACAGACAGGAAGAAAAAGAAAAGAAATGGAAGAAACGAAATGTGTGCCACATGAAAATGACTATGCGCAGCTGTCATAAACGCGTGCTACGTTGATCGAAACAAGGGATGCCATTGAGGCGTCGTCGACTGACAAAGCTCGAAGGTTGGATGCATTCTGTGTGCAGGCCTGAAAATTATGCGTTCTTATGCAGAGGCACGTGCATCGTGGATTATGCAAGACGAGTATATAGCCTCGTGCCGATCGCTGTTTAAAATGCCAGCCGCGAACGAGCCGGGTTACCTTCGCCGCTCTTGATCACGATCAAAATAAAGAGAAGCCGCGCGAAAGCCTGCCACAGACGACACTTCTGCGGTGTCATTAAATTTTCATAGAATAATTCCCAGATCTCTGTGACCAATCTACAACATCTTTTCCATTCACTTTTCGTTCTGCCTTTTATTTTTTATTATGAAGGTTCGCGGTTCTATCGTTGGCGATACTCGTGGCTCTCAGAAGCTAAGTTCGGTGTCAACTATGGTGTTTGACGAACCCTTTAACCAGTTACCTGTTTTTGACGAGTAAGCTCGTCAGGAAGAAATGAAAATATTTTGTGTTGCGACGAGTGTACTCGTCGTCGCTTACTTCTGGCGACACATTTTACGTGCACACTTTTCGAAGAGGTCGCAACCGGTCAATTTCATTGCAAAAGTACAGAACGATATCTGCACGATGAGACTAGCACAGAGATATTTGTGTCTCTCAAAAGCTAAATTAATATCAAATCCGCTTCCTTTAACGAAATTAAATTTCATTCCGAACTGTAAGAACTGTCGTCTTTATATACATTTCTTGAACCGTCTTTATATACATTTCTATGCTATCGTTTTTAATATATAACTATTGTTCTTATTATTATATGGAAACTCAGACACACGTAATCCGCAGGTGGCATCTTCATTGACGCCACTATTCACGTGCTATCAATTCTAACTGTTATGTTAATCAGCCAAATGTCGGCTCAGACAAATCGCAAGGACATTGTATGTAAAATGAACAAAAATACAGGATCACGATTAATGATCCATTTTGAAGAAAACAGTTATTTACTTTAATTTCAGTTTATTTATCATACAGTGACATTAATTGTACGGTAAACGTAAAAAATAGCGTATCATCATTACTTTGCTGGACGTTTTAATTTATAATGTAGATTACCACCAATCTTTAACACGATGATTACCACGCAATATTTTATATATATTCGCGTGGAAGGTGCGACAGATTGAAATGCGATATACATCATGGCGTTAAAGTTTCACAAAATATTGCCTTGTATTTGCGCACCTTTTTCCATCTAAATCATCGACACCGTTGAAAATCGTTTACGTTCACGAAGTTTATCTTTCTTAATTATTTTGCAAAAGCTGACAGTCAACGTGTTAATATCCCTTCTGGAAACTCGTTAAACCTATCGATAACACAAAAAGATAAATGGGAAGAGATAAAAACTAACACGTTCTGTGTCATAGGGGAATAAAGATTTAATAATTTTAGCAAAGCTTTCGACGCTTCTAATGGGAGTTTTATCCACGATAATCATGGTAAGGTGATTAGCGAGCCATGCATCGCATGTAAATTGCAAACACTCATAACCGAACGAATCTGCATAAATTACTTTAGTCGTGGTTTATCGTCAAACTAAAGCACTCTATCCACTTTACCGTAGCATCGTTTCACCGTGGTCGACTGTTCGTCTCGGAAACAGCTCTGGCTATTGTCTTTCCTTTCCAACAAACGAATAAACCGATAGATAACTCTTCGCCGTGGTGGTATTCAATTTCGACGGAGGAAGCGCGCTCGCTCGTTAGCCGATGGAGGGAAAGAAAAAGAAAAAAAAAAGCGACGAAGGAAACGAGCAACGTTTGGTCGAGGTGAAAACCGTAGAAACGTGCAAACACGCGGCCACGACGTGAGAGAACGGCCGAAGAAGCATCGACAAGTTAGACAGCAACGTGGAAAAAATATCCGAATGATGGAAAAGCTATAAGCCTTCGCTGGCGAAACTGCCAACCAAACGAAAACCGATGCTTGTTTGCGTCATTGAGTTCGCAGTCGATACTACGTTCCAACCAATCACGTGTATGGACGTTCTAGTCGCTTTAAAAAGAAGACTTTAAGCAGATTTTCGAATTAAGTATATTTTCGCTCGATTCTCACCCGTCGTTCCTTTTCCGTCAAACTTTTACGCGTCGAACACGAGGTAAGAGTAGGCAAGTGGATTCGGTGGTACGCGA